ATGGGGAGGGATGGAGATTGGGGAGGTTTCTTATTAGATTCCACTCCTGGGCAGAATTTTTGTAATGGGGCAACAATGAATAGATACAAATTATGCTCGCTTATTCTCAAATTCACCTCGAACTCCAGCATACAGGTACTATCATGCCTGCTTCATAGATGGAGAGCTGAGACAGTGAAAAATAGAAGGTACGTTGAAGATGATGTCTTCCAGCCTCCACTGTTGCCTAGAAGGGGAATCGCTTGCCCAGCACGGAGGAGTCCTTTAGTAAATTAAGCGCTTGCACTGAAACTGGACATACAGGAACCTTACCTTGAGATTGGGATAGGAAGGGGTGTGGGAGTGATGTTTCAAGGCTTGAAGAAGTTTTTGGAGGCGCCCAGAGCACACACGACAGTGTGGCCGGGCTGCTCAGAGAGGGACCTGCACATTCGGAGGCACATGGGTTGGCATCGGCTACTCTTAAGCGTTTCCTTCTTGCGAGGGTAAGCTGCTTCCCCTCTCCACATTTCTGTTTCCTCATTTGTGAAAGGGCACCCGGCCCCAGCCAGTTTTGCTCAGTGGATAGAGCATCAGCCTGCAGACTGAAGGGCCCCAGATTTGATTCCGGTCAAGGGCACATGCCCAGGTTGCAGGCACGATCCCCAGTCGGGGGCTTGCAAGAGACAGCCGATCAATGATTCTCTCTCATCATTGATGTTTCTTTCTCTCCCTCTGCCTTCCTCTCTGAAATCAATAAAAATATATTTTAAAAAAGAAAAGAGAAAGGGCACCAGGAGCACCTCCTATGCCCCAGGTCCACTGTGTGTATTAAATGAAGTGACGTGTACAAAGGGCTTGGCCCAGTGCTGGGCACACGGTGAGCCCTCAGTGTTCTTTCTCTTCATTGTCATCATTATGATCAGATCGGTGCAGCTTTATCATCATTTTCTCAGGTTTAAATAAAGTGCTAATATTAGCTACTTGTGGGGCTTTTGTTTAAATGAAATAACGCAGATAAAGAGCTTGGAAGAGTAGCTGGCATGTAATGAAAGTGCTAGCTGCTATTACGATGATGGCTGTGCTGATAGGTTGTGGTGTGACTTTCCTGGGAGAAATTGTAATCAAAGTGTCTGTATCTTCTACCAGCTCCAAAGGCTGGGACAGTGCCAGGCAGGTGACCTGGGGAGCACTCAGTCAAGTAGTCCTTGAATCTAGGAGACTCAAGTCTGAAGTGGGTTAACTGCAGGGCATCCCTCTCACTAGAATGCCTTCCTCTACGGGTAGTTAGAAGAGGATCAAACAGAAGAATGACTCACAAAGCCCAGGACTGAAGAATGACTCAAACCTGAAGATGACAGATATTTTCCACTACATGGACCCGCAGCACAACCCAAATCTAGCCCGGGGTGACCAGCTGGCCCTGTCTGGTCTTAAAGTCTGTTTCCAGGTGACCAGCAGCTGAACTCTGTCTGCTTGTGGTGGTCGCTGTCCTCTGCCCCCTTCACTGCCGGTGGGCCCAGGTGCCTCTTCACTCCCTCAACAGAGCTCCCCTTACCACTTGGAAAATTCCCCGGCTCAGAAGCTTCACTGTGTAGGTCCAGCATTAACCAAGCAATGCCTTAAAAACAACATCAGGCAGGATCTTTGGGGGCTTAGGCTTAAAGTTCTGTAACTGTCAGTTGACCTTCAAAGTTCAATTTAACAGTAAAATAAAAAAATTTACGTACTTCTTTTCCTGAGCTCCATTTTCTATTTCCACTTTGCTCTCTCTCTGTGCGTGCCTCTTCAAGGGAAAGGCAGGGTGTAAATAAACTGAAAGCTGTACACCAACATGCAAGCCATCAGATCCTCGTTTTCCTAGAGGAGCATTATTGAAAATGACGTAAAGATCGTTCTGTGGAGCGTATGTTATTGAAAATTAAAGCAATGAACCTGGGAATGATAGAAGTACCGAGGGATGGTATTTGTGGTTCAGCGAGTGCAAATCCATGTGTCATACACAAATACACTTCACTTTAATAGTTTGATATCTCTTCACTCATCTAAAACACCTTAAGGTATTTGGAAAGGGAGGAAGAAATAAAACAGATGAACCAGCTGAGATATGGCCAGGAACAGTAGTACTTCATTTTGATTGATGTTTTTACAACCTTATCTTCTAGATAAAAGCTACTGTAAACAAAAGCTGACCTACATTGATTGTCTTTCAAGGAAGTGAGGGCCACCTGTGTGCAGCTATTGGCTCCCGACTACTTAGTTTTTCTTCTTAGCCGTCAGCTCCGCCCACCTGACAGCCACACCTCAGCCACCTGTAGGGCCCTCCCAGGGAACAGCTCTTGTATTTCCTACCAGGTTCTAAACAACATCATCTTTCCTGTAATAACCTGAAACACATAGATTCCAAATGCGAAATGTCTGGCACTACTTTTTCGGTGCATGTAATTTGGGCATAGTTTTAAGGCTGATTTTATCTCTTCCCTATGTGGTCGGTGGTTGTCAGCAAAAGACTGTTTTCCAAATGCGTGTTAGCACCCAGAGCTTCTCCAGGCGCTCTCTGTGGGGCAGGCATTCATGTGTTCGTGCATCTGCTCAGCCAGCACTCACTGGCTGATTCCCTTGTGCCTGAAATACAAGCTGCCCTCATGCAGCTTCCATTCTAGACGTGTAGAGCCAGATCACCCATATTTACTTGTCTTCTGAGTGCCATATTTTTGTAGTTGTTTTCTGTCACCTGGTCATTTTTTCTAATGATCTTGATGGTTCCAATTTCTAATCCCTTCACCCCCACCCCCAGCATTTGCCTTCAAGGATCTATAAAATTGTGAGATTTGCCTCTGAGGACTGTGCTGGTTAGCCAAAGAGATTTTTCCTTATCGGGAAATATGAATTGTGAGTAAAAGGAATGTTTTAACTACCCATTCAGAGCGAGTTGGGATCTGACATACCTGAAGCACTGTGTCACACTGGGATAATGATAGATTTATAGGGCAAACATGTAGCAGCCTTAATCCTTCAGTTATTCGACTTTGCCAAGGATGAAAATTCCAGTATTTTTTTATTTTAAGCAGACATTTATATTTCTATCTAGAACCCATAAATTTCTTTGTGCCTTGAGATAAATGTCTCACTGAACTCTGAGTTACCCTGTGCTGTAATAAAAAACTATGTTAAAAAAAAATCAGGGCTAAACAACATTTATATAGTAAAATATTTTCTATTTTATAAAGCATTTCTAATTTCTACTATTCAGAAAGTTGGAAGCGAGAAGTTCAGGAATAACCTCCGAATTTATCAGAACGAGTCTGGCGAACCCAGAATGGACCACCACACTGTCAGCCAGGCTCGGCCAGCCTGGGGATCACTATTCATTATGGTTGTCATATCAATTATAAATTCTCTGGCATCAAACACTAAATCAGCGGAAATGATGGGTTCGCCTTTGGCATGTTTCCCTGGGGAAATAACTGAGAAAACATGTAATAATTCACACAACCAATTTTGTAAACTACCCCAACTTTGGGAAGAAGGCTGGAGTATAAATTCTAGGCTGGTAGATATGATTTGCACCCAAGGTCTGCCTGAAGTAGTCTCTCACTCTTAGTACTTAAATGTTTTCTCCGTACATGACCTTGAGTACTTTAGGACTTTAAGGATTTTGGTTTCTTTTACTGCACTTGGTATTTCTTCTTCCTACTTGGGGACAGGTACTGTCCACTTAATATATCCTCATTTGAAACAAAGACCAGGACTACTGTACTTAAGTTCATCCTCCAGTTTCACAACGAAATAATCTCAATATGTTTCTGATCCCAACTCTTTATTTCTCTTGGGACCCTCTGATCCCACTCTTTATTTTCACCTCAAAAAATGAACATCTAATGGAGAAAATGAAGAGGACATTATATGAGTAAATGCAACTTAGCTGAGAGCTCACCTCGCCCAGGAAGACTTCTAGAATATCATGTCATTGCTCTAAATCAGCGGTCGCCAACCTGTGGTCCTGGACCACTGGTGGTCTGTGAGGTTGGAAAATTGGCGATCGCTGCTCTAAATTGTCTTTTGCTGTGAACTGGTCGGCATTTTGTTTGTTCAGTTAATTACTTACATTTCACACTTAAAAATGTGAATAGACTTTTTCCAGGTTATTAAACTTTGAGCTGTAAGCTGCTGCAGGAGGGAGGAGCCTTCCTCCAGTGACCTGTACTGTCTGCAGGGGGATGCCCAGGCTGTGCTATGTTCATTCTTAACAGGTAAACGCAGCGCAGCTGGCCCACTGCCGGGAGAAAGCGTTTCTCCAGGAAAACAGATATGAAAGCAGCTGATTACATAGCTTCTGCCTTTGTTTCCTATTCTACCTCGCTCAGCTTCTCCCTTCTGAGCAGAGGGTTACAATAGGCTAGAAAGACTGTGAATGTGGCATCTGAGTCTATCCAACACGGGGCAACGGACAAGGAAAATGAAGCACTTTTCCAGGCAATTTAATGTAGACACGGAAATGCCAAGTTACATAAACACCAAGGAGGATTTCAGGTGGTTGTAGTTGTGTATTTATATACATTTTAAACTTTCTTCAAAATAACATATTTTCTGTTTATCTTCTATGTGGCATTCGGGCCTGAAGTGAATCAGTATTTAGAATATATTTTTCCTTTTCTATTTTCAAAATTATATACAGTGAGTTGATGTTACAAAGAGAGTTGCATTTTTAATCATCAAGATCCATGAGTTTAGTGAGAATACTCATAACTGGGGCTCTTTTTTCTTCAGTCCTTTCAATTTGGAAACACGGCCCTGCCAAGAAAAGAAAGTGAATAAAACAACCAAGTTATGTTTTTATTTCATCTCTGGATATTACAAAATAAAAAGAATGTTTGCATTGTATATTAAATTGACCATAGTGCCAGAACCTTACGATGTTGTATTACATGATCACTAATCTATTATTATTGTACACATATTTACGCACAGGCATGAGTACACACGTACTCTGCATATAAACATGTGCAAGCATATTTCACTTGGACTGAAAAGTTATTTACAACTCTGTCTGGAGATACATACAACAGTGATTAACAAGTGCATAACCAATCTACAACACGCAGATTAAAACTAAATAAACAGTGTAAGAGTTTATTTTAAAACAATTACAAGATGTTTTATATTTCTCCTTCGTCCTGAACTATGTTTTTGCGAATGCATTCTTCATAAAAACCACATGCAAGTCTTTGATGGTGAAACAATTGACTTCCAACAGCCACATGTCTGCACACGTCTTCCGAAGTTACCCCAGACCCCACACAGCAACTCAGATGAGAAAGAAAAAGGGGAATATATATATATATATATAGTTTTTAATTATTTAATGAAGACCTTTGTGAACAAGAAACTTGACTAAAATTATCAAATCATCCCATAGTCCTCTTTTCATTTCAATTGAAAATTGTTTGGTTGACTTGATCCAGATTAATATTGTAGAACCCCAGTATACTGAGTGAGAATCCTTTATGTAAACATGGTAATTCAGCTCATTGAGAAGTATGATATCAGTTTCATGAGTTTCCTTTATTCTTTGTGGAGAAGCAAATTGTACGACAGTATATGAGTCCCAGCTTCATATTGTATTACCAAAAGAGGTATAAAGTCATACTGATATTTTTAAAAATATGTAGTAATTTTTCTCATAGAGCTAAAAACATAGATAAGTCAAATTAATGCCACAAACATAAGATACATCTTCATGCCAGAAGTATTTTACCAGCAAGAGTGGGCCTTTGGGTTCCCTTTGTCAACCCTGCTTAGCAAGTCTGAACCTTCTTTTCTGGTTCTTCCTGACATGCTCACATAGACCCTCCGCTTCCCTCGGTTTTTGTGGTAACTTATTCCAGCTGTTGGTGTCCATTAATGGGAACAGGCTGCAGGAGTGTTCTGGGTTTACTCCTCTCTCCTCATATTAGATTCTGTCCCATAGCTTCTGAATCTTCTCCTCGCAGGAAGCATTTATCTTCTCTGGACTTCAGGCAGTGATTCCATAATTCTCAGTCCTTTTACCTGAATTATAAGTTGCTTTGCCATATGCTTCCTAAACATGGGGACACCTACATTGAAATGAGTGGCTAGATAGACTCTTTAGTATGGAACTATTGACTGAAAAATTATTCCCCGGAGACAGGTGAATCCTGACTCATACACTGGGCTTTTGATTAGTCGCCTGCCTTCTGGACCCCTGCTCTTCTCTCTTTTCCAGATGTGGTAAATATGTTTCAAAGTTGAGTGAATGTTATAAATTGCGGTGTAAATACAATCCATAGTGACAGACAGTGGAGTGTAATGGTTATAAGCACAAGCCACAGAGCCAGACCGCTGGGGCCCAAAGCCTGTCCCTTTTTGTGCCTCAGTTTTTTCACCTGTAAAATGGGGATAATCGTAGTGCCCCCCTCACAGGGTGCTTGTGACTTTCAAATGAGTGCACGTGTAAAAGTATGGAGTCATTGCCTGCCACGTGAGTGTGCTGTAAATGTTCGTTACCTCTTCATTGTTGTTTATTCCGATAGTTTTATATGTATTTAGACCACATCTTTGTAGACCTTATGTATGATCAAGGGCCTTCTGAAATCTATGGAGCCATAGAAGCTAAATGGGCCTCAGGAAACCAACGAGGAAGTTGGTTATTGGGGCTAATTTAGCAAAGTGATATCCGACACTAGGATTGGAAATCTCTGCATACCTGCATCTACCTTTCATTTTATCACTCTCTGAAAAAGTGCCTCAAGG